ATGAACAGGATGGTCATATGAGAGAGGTGACCACATTGATTACAAGCGAAATAGAGACCACAGGTTAAGGGAAAAATGATAGCACAGCCATTACTGGCATGTGGGGTGCATGATGGTGTTAACTACAGCTTATTGCCTAAACCTATACATGTATTTTTACAGTATTTATTTTTTGGTACCAGGGATCGAACTCGGGATCTTACACAAGGCAGATGGCAGAACCACTGAGCTAAATCCCCAGCCCAACCTATACGTGTTATTTAGCACCCCTGACTACTGTGCTGGGGCAATCATGTAACTTCTCAATGACTGAACATATCAACTGAGTTTAAATGGTATTAATATATAGAAGGCCATGACTTGAACAAAGTAATATATTACTGTAATTCTTCATAATCCACTGTGGTTTCAAAGTGGAATCAAGTCTCAAGAGATTAGTTTTCTGAAAGAATTGCCTCTAACTTAAAAAAAAATTAGAGGTGGACTTAATACATGACTGTATCAAGTGAAGGTCAAGTAATAATAGTTTGGCAAGAAAAACAGTTTTTAAAAGTGCTAAGTACATAAATGTACACAATATTTGCATTAATATGGTTTTATGCATTAAGGGACTTAAACATAATTCAAGATAATACTGAATCCAAAAGAATTTTGTTTTCCCAGTGCTGATGATCAAACTCAAGGCCTTGAATATACTAAGTCCTCTAAATTGAGCTAATCCCCAATCTCCTTATAGATTAAGAAACCCAGGCAATTATTTTCTTGTGAACTCAATTATTTTCACCAGGCTGGGCATGGTGGTGCACATTTGTAATCCTACCACTCTGGGAGGCTGAAGCAGGAGGATCTGAAGTTCCAACCTATCCTGGGCAACTTAGCAAGACTGTCTCAAAATAAAAAAAGGTTGGGGATATAGCTCAGTGCAAAACTTGTGGGTTCAATCCCCAGTACCATAAAAAGCGACAACAAAAAAACTTACTCCTTGTAATCTCTGAATAGCTTTTTTTAAATTACTCAACTACTGCACTGAACAAGCAACTGAAAATTTTTGCTCTTTTAGTTACCAGAGATGTATTACTAGTATTGGTCTAGTGCCAACTACTAGCCCTCTTATGGAAGTAGAATATTGCTTTTCTATAATCTTGACCACCAAATGTCCAAAGTAGTTGCTCAAGTGCAGAACAAGGACAAGATAAAATAATTCACAAAAGTTTACATTTAGCAGCAAATGGACCACTGCATAATTCTTCCACGGCATTTGGCCACTTATTCACCAGAGAAAGAATGACTCCTGGAGTCTTTCCAAATTAAGAAAGTGAGATCAGGGCTAGGGATTTAGCTCAGTCGTTCTGCCACATGCCTGGCAAGCACAAGGTCCCGAGTTCAATCCCCGGTGCCAAAAAAAAAAAAGTGAGCTCTACTTGGCTTTTATTGTTGATCTCATAAATAAACTAGCAGGGAAAAAATAAACCTTAGTTGGTCTTCTAGATTACATGTAAAAATAAGAGAGCAGACCCTTAGAAAAAATTTTAGATGACAACATTCTACTAAGGATATAAACACCATAACCACCCTTTGTATCCAATGTTTTTAAATCATGTAACTCAATACAAGTTCTTAAAACTTTTATTTCACCAAACGGTGGATTTAACTTGTCACTTATCTTCTATGTCAAATACTTTCATTAGTTTTCTCTTCAGAAAATACTTCGTGTATTTTCAACATTCCACAGTATTTTTCAAATAACCAGTATTTTCAGCATAAACTTGGTAAGATATCCATCCACTCTTTAGCAATTAGTAAGTGGCACATTAATTTTAGGATAAAAGATACTCTATTCCTATGCATTTCCTATTTTTTTGTAAATTCAATACCGGGACAAATCTGTAATACACTGCATTCCTTTTAATGGTCTTTCTAGTTTCTATATAAATCTGTTCACTTTTCCAAAACCTTGAGGTGTTGGACTCTTCCTGACCAATAAAGGATTCCATTAAAAAAGTGTATTTATAAAAGAAAAACCTAGGGGGTAAAATTCCTTAAATACTTCCTGAAATCCTATTACGCATGATCCTAGATTTTTATCATTAGTACTTACATTCTTTAAAATGTACATAAGAACAGTCATGTTCTCATTAAAACCAACACTACAGCTCAACACTGTCTTTACATGATGCACCTAACAAAATCACCCAAAGCCACTCACACCAGAGCTATTAAGCAAAAGGCATTAGCCGGGTATGGTAGCACACACCTGTAATGCCAGAACCTGGGAGGATGAAGCAAGGCCAGCCTGGGGTACATAAGTTCAAGACCAACTTGAACAGAATAGTGAGACCTTGTCTCACAACAAAACAAACAAAAAGGCATTACTTCTAGCTCTATTCTCAAAATTTGCAAAATAACACTAATTTCATTTACTACTAATATATATTTAGTGAAAATTGATATTAAACTCAATTTACAGATATTAAGTAATCAAGACTAATAAATTATGAGTGGGCCAAACTATTCCACGCTGCAAATACTTTCTTAAATTTTAAATGTCACAAATTCTCTTAAAAGGACAATATAAAATTATAATTGTTGTATTTTTACACCCAAAAGACTTACATACCACTATTCTTCCAAAATCCTGGAGTTACACAAACCCCTACCAAAAGCTGTTTGAAATGCCAGAAAAAAAAATTTTTTATCAATTCTAAAAGTTATTAATTAAAACCATTAAAGCATAACACTGACCTAATATGACAAGAATTTTATTTTTGCAATTTTTATTAATATATGATCATCCTCAGGGTTTAAAAGGTCTTGGCCTTTTAAACAAATTTCTAAGGCAATTTTACAATTCATTTGAAAGGTGATAGATAACCACACACTCCTACAACCTCAGCCACTTTACAAAACAAAGGGAAAATTGCTTCAAAACTCCTAAGAAATGTTACTATAATTTAGAGCAGCTCTATATTTACTCTTCTATCAATCAGTGTCTTAGATTGCCATGTACATTTTGATTGTGACATGCAAACATGGATTCTGCTTTGGAAAATGGTTAAATTGCATGCAGATTTCTGTGAAGATTCATAATCCCAAAAACAAAGGAGGGGGAATGAACATTATAGGACTGACTCTGCCAACACATACTTAGAAGAAACACTTTCACAGCTGTACAGACGGGGAGAAAAGAAGTCATGGGATTAAGGTACTAAATCATCAGGCTGCCAACATTATCCAAATAGTTACCAGCTTCCGTGTATGATGTTTTCAAAGTGGAAAAGAAGTTATTAGAGACTGATTCAGACCATCAGTTACCATTACTTTATACAGTGTCAGTGTAATTCAATTTAATCTCCCTTAACCATTAAAAAGTTTAAGACTACATTCCAAGGTAATAGTTCATTTTAAATCTACTTTAATAAATTATACATGTATGAATTTGTACATGTATGTTCTCTATGTATCATTTTAAAGTATGTAAGATACCTTTGATAATTAAACAGACAAGCCATGTTGATATTAATAAGTTTAGACAAACTGTCACTGACTTTAATACACTATTGACTAACAAAAGGTAGTTCAAGGCTTTAGCTTTGAGCTTGATAAAAATGTCAGGGTATGTTTGAGAAATCTGTCCTTATTATACTATAAA